GGAATTTTTGCTGGAATGCAGTTTAAATTTAACATATATTTAATTTTATTTCGGCTAATTAATAGACCATAATTATAAATACTATAGTGTTTCGTTGAGGAATTAATCATTCACGTAGTTTCATTTGTAAATGAAAACTCAACAAGCTCATTTATTATCACACATGGGCATAAATACAATCATAAAGTCAAAACTTTATTGGCATAATTGTCAGGTGTTTATTTGCAAAATATATGGTAGGCTATCAAATGCTAGCATAATTATACAAAATGTTAACTGGGTAAAGCGATGCACAAATTGAAAGGGGAATATATAACAATAAATATAAAAATATAGCCCTAATAAGTTAATGTAATAATAATAATATACAAATATTAAATTAAATGTTTAATGTTAATAAAAATGTTTTATCCAATTTTGATAATCCCGGGTTGCTATGGTCACGCAGGTTTGTTTACGCATTAAACTCGTGGCCACGAGTTTATGAAAATATGTTGTTCCCTCAACATAAGTCGTGGCCACGACATAAGGATGTCGTTACCTCGAAAATATGATCTCGTGGCCACGACATAATATCACGTTCCCACGAGTTAATATGACGTTCCCTCAAATTATCTCGTGGCCACTACATATTATCACATTCCCACAAGTTATTATGTCGTGGCCACGACAAAACTAAGTGAACCAAACATGTCAGCTCCCCGGCACCGTATATAATGTGAGACAGTGACATTTTGTTTTTAAAAATATGAATTCAATACTGATTTGCACTCAAAATTCAAAATCCAGGCATGGAGGATGCGATTAATAAAGTAAAGTTTTCCTGAATTTTGAGTATGAACCACTATTGAATTCTTGTTAACTAAAAATTTATGCACTAAAACAAGACAACATAGGAGACAAGAGAGTGATGTAAATGTCCTTATTAAATCTGCTGTATAAAAATATGACACATAATAAAGCTATTCTAAGATCATATGTAAGATATGTAGCCTAAAACAAATATATATAATAATAATTCTAAACTTGATTCTGGCATTTGATTCATGACATTACCAATCAAATGTTTGGGATTGCTTTTTTTTTTTTTTTTTTAAGAAAGTTATACTTTTGTTCAACAAGGATTCATTAAAATAATAATAATTTAAAAATGACAGTAAAGACATTTATAATGTTACAAAAGATTTATATTTTTAAATAAATGCTGTTCTTCTGATCTTTCTACTCATCAATAAATCCTGTCGCTGTATAATGGTTTCCACACTTCATTAAGCAGTACAACCATTTTTAACTGTGATAATGATAATAAATGTTTCTTGAGCAGCAAATCAACATATTAGAATGATTTCTGAAGGGTCTTGTCATACTGAAGACTGGAGAAGTCGAGATCTGACATCACAGATGAAAAATAGAAAACAGTCATTTTAAATTGCAAAAACATTTCACAATATTACTGTTTTTTACCATTTTTAATCAGATAAATGCAGTTGGTGAACAAAGAACCTTACTAATACAAAACCTTTAAACAGTAATCAATAATCATATTATCAAAACAAGAACAAGCACACTTATGAACATTTGTAAATTAAAAATATTTTGTTAACAGGGGCAAAAACAAAAGTGTTGCGTTTATAATTTTGTTCAGTGTAGTTCCTTATTACATTCCATAAAATGCTGTGAAGAACTTGTTTTCTTGTTTACAGTGTACCAAAATGTAGGATACTTTTAACACTTGTCCATACAACTTTGTTTAATCCAAAATTTTACACAAGTAAGCCTATAAAGGAACACTTTTATGCTTGTGTGTGGTTTAGATTCCAGTTCATTTTGTAAATATGCCAAACAGTTTAAGAACAATCTCACCAGAATAGATGAAAAATGATTAGTCCACAGATACAAGTTTATTTCAGTTGTTGCACTCAAATGATAACAACTAATAAGCTACAGCACAACGAACTGAAATCATTGTATAGAACTAGCTGAAGTTTGCTGTGCTTTATCCTAACAGTACACAAAGAATGCCTGCTATGGAGTCAAAATAATGCCATATATATATGCAAAATAATAAAGTTTTGCAAAAGAAAATAAAGTTTTGCAAAAGAAAAAAAAATTTTGCAAATGAAAATAAAGTTTTGCAAACGAAAATAAAAGTATTGATGATTACCCCAAGTTTATTGGTGTTGTCCTCTTATTCAAATTATAAATTATATAACTAAACAAATAAATAATTGATTAGGTGAAACTGAAATTTTCTCCTAGATAAAGAATGCTACATCACTGAGTGACCTCCAGGAACTCACAGAAAAATACTCCAGCATGCTTCAGACAGCAGGCTGCTATCGATTCATGAGGACTCTGGAGGATAAGAACAAAGTAGTAGATGATTACATTCAGTTGTATTTCATCTACCGAAACCATGTTTCCATCCAGAGGTATAATATTCTACTTGCTCTGTGGACATGTAACAAAACTTTTAATACAATGTTAAATAGTTATTTTATATTTTAACATAAGCACTTTAATACTTTTTTATTATACTAATAAAGGCTAAATATTGTGGCTGAAGTAGTGTCACCTTATTTCTTTTTAAAATGGAAAATCTGTATATCTTTCAGTAGTTGTTCACATAACGTCCTTGTAGTAACTTTTTGACATGGAACTTTTTGTAGGTTCAAAGAGGGATTGGCAATGCTTGATTTTGTCAATACCTTGGAACAGCATCCTTCACTCTTCTTCTCATTCATGTGCTACACTGAGACCAAGCTGACAGCTGATGCTGTGGAGAACATCTTCCAGGTGCAGTTTAGTCAGCCTGGTAGCACCAACCGTCAGGAGGAGGCCACAGTACTGAGCTACTGGCGAGATTATCTGCTCTACCTGGAAGGTATTATGTATTGTTAAAATGATAAGAAATGTGCCGAATTGTCACTGCAACAAATAATGAGATATAAAGTAACAGAAATTTATGTCAGTTCAGGGAACCTTAAATGAGTGTTATACACAAAGGGATAAATCCACAATTGCATACTGTGTGGTCCATAAGAATTTAAGCAGGGTTCAATTGTTACATGTGGTTTAGAAGAAATGACAAACCACCTCCATACAACAAATCACCACTGTGCACAAAGCCTTATAGCTGCTAGGTGATTACTACACTGATTCGAAAGTAGCAACAAGAAAAAAAGCAATGGCCACAATTTAAGTCCTTCTTTGGAAGATGTCCTTATGTTTGGAACTGGGCTGAAGGAAGTTCCTCCTGCAGCAATACAGCCACAGCTAGTTTTTCAGAAGAGCTCTCAATTTCCCATGGCAAATGTATGTACAAATACATATGAAGAGTTTCAAGCAGCCGTGGATTATGGCATGCAAAACTCCCCTGGGTTTGGGCTTCCTTGAAGCAAAATACCTTTGGCTGATATTCTGGGGTTTAGGTCCGAGTAAACAGTTTTATTTAAATGAAAATGTGCCACTTTGTTCTTTCGTATTTTGAAATGCAGGCATGTTTGTATAACGCATGTTTTAATGTGCACTTCTGTTATAGTTAAAAATTTCAAGTCACTCAGTTAAACAAGGAACACTCAGGTTAATAGACTGTACTGATATACTGGTGAGTTGAGGAATAATATAGATTTTATTTTCACAAGTGACATTTTTCATCATGGACCAATTTTTTTTTAACAACAGAAATGCATGGCATGTTCTTTGCACAAAACTTAAGATTTTGTTACACAGTTTAAATTATTGATGTTCAGTAAAACACTGATGACATATGCAGTGAGCAAATAAAGTTGTTCTTGATGATTTTAAAGTCTGGACATATTTTTAAGTGTTATGTAATTCTCAACAGCAGTTATCCAGTTGACTGGTGGAGAAAGCCCACTCTGTCTCTGCAAGTCTGAAAAATGAATTTGGAGATTACTATCACCACAAAGACTGCGCTGTGGTGGCAGAATGTCCTCAAACTCTTGAATAACTTCCTGTGACACTTGGAATCCACAGTCCCTTGCATCAAACCTAAGGCCAATCAGAAATCAAAACACTTTGTCAACTCATTACAAAAATTTATAATAAAACCTACAAATGATTATGTTGATTATAACCCAACATTATAACCCATCGTCGCAATTTTTAAATAGTTTTTAAATTGAAGACATAAGCCAAAGGTTGACCCTCAATGTTGACAACATCTGTTGTCCAATATGGTCATTACATTTGCTTCTACTGCAAAGACACTTTGTGAGTAGCAATATACCTTTTTTTTGCTTCATGCATTGTAAATGTTTTTAGTCTAAGAATATCTGAATTCTTTTTTAAACAATGACCTAGTTCTGATTTAAAAAAATACAATTATCGTCAAGTGAGGGACATTACACTATACACTTCTGTGTCAGATATAGGCAATCAATCACATTTTCTTTGATCATTAATGATTAAACTTAAGTGAAAATGAAATCTGATATTTACTGAACATGGTCACATATTGCATGGATTAAATACGAACCTGTGAGGCAGGTGATACATGGCTTCTGGTTTACCAGAATGACAAGAAGACTGACGAACAGGTCGGATGGTGTGGTTATTCAAAAGTTCTCTGTACTCATCAAGGTCTTTCTGCACGATGCTCAAGAAGACAAACCGTAGAAGGCACTTATGCTCATGGCTGCCATTGAAAAGGTGCCTCTCTCTCAGGTCACTGAAGAGATCAATCCAGAACTGAGTCCTAATGATGGAATGAAAGTATACACAATGTTTTACTTAAGTGCTGAATAAGTTATATGGAAATGATTTCTAAAACAAATGTTTCCAACAAAAGGTATTATTTAAACTGCATTCCTATTTTAAAAAAATATATATAATTTTAAATATCAATGTAAAGAAAACTTTATAGCATCAGGGGAAAAAAAGATTTGCATTACATTTTAATCTAGTGTTATTCTCATATAATGTTGTTGACAGCTGAAACCCTCTGTCATGTGACAACACATACAAAAACTAAGTGATTAAATAGTTTTATGTTAAGCCAGAGATAATACCACAGAGTGAAATGATTTGTGTTAAAAAATAACTTCTAGTGTGAAGTAGCACCTAGTTGTATGGAAAATAAAGCACATTTAAGTACATAATTGTAATGCTAATTTTTTCCCACAAAGGATATCTAATTGGTCAAACAAAAAAAAATAGATTTGTGCCTCTAATGCTTACAAAAGGTAATAGAACAAAAATGAGATTTGTGCCTCTAATGCTTAAAAAAAATAATAGGACACCCAGTTCTATCCTATTTATGGAAAGTGTCAATTATCCTGTTTTTTGGGTATCACACTGTTCAAAGACTGTTATGCTGGAGGCTCCATTATGCCTCCTTTTTCAGGATTGCACAGCTGTATATTATGGCTTTCCTCCCTGCTGTTCCTGTAAGTATAACAAGTTTTACAAAAATATTCAGTGGTTGTGCTTTCATCTCCGTGTTGGCCTTGTTTTAGAGTATAAGTTCAAATGTTCCCTGCACTTGTGCTGCTCACTTTTTATTTACCAAAATGTTTCCTGTGAAATTGTTTTTTATGTTCAAGACATGTAATATTTAAAGAGCCCTACCACACATACAGTCACTGTCACAAGCTTTCCGTCTGCTGAAAGTACTGATGTCTTTTACTGTCCATCCTTCAATTTCCTAAGCCATGTTTCTGCACCATCTGCAGGTGTCTTATTTGCAAAACCAGGTACAACCTCTCAGTAAGCCCAAGATTGCATTGGACAGTCTATATTGTTGCAAAATAAATTTAAACTCAACAGATAATGTATTGTCATGTTTCAGGGCATCATACTGCCACAGATGTACACAGCAGTTGCTGCCAATATTTTAAATGTAGCAACAAACTACATCCTCCTTCATTCAAAGAAACTGGGAGTGATGTATGTATGATAACTACTAATTTTATTAATACTAAACAGCAATACATATAGACCAATGATGGCCATAAGCCAGGAAATAAATTATCTTTAGTATACGCAGGTGCTTGTGTCTCTGCAGGGGCTCTGCTGCAGCCAACACAACAGTATCTCACAGATCTCCAGCTGCCTCTTGCTGTTTGCTTACATATGCTGGAAAAAGCTGCATGTGATGACATGGGGTGGTGAGGAATATACGGAAAGCCGCACACACAGAGACACTCATGTTTGCTTTTATGTCATTATGGGGTCATTGACTTCTAAAATTATTACATTAAGCCAGCTATAATTATTATATTCTAAAGGGGCGTTCACATCCAACAGTGACAAAGTGATTCATTTTTAATGACCGTGAGTTAAGAGAGATGTTAGCAATGCAGCAAAGTTAGAGGAGCTCCAGTGTATGCAAATAAGCAGCAATGTTTGCGGAGACTACCAGTGGGAGCGCAGACAGTGATGCCCCACCTATATGTGTATACAATGGTAAAATAAGACCAATTCTAGTGCTGAGACTAGAATTGAAGTTGATTCCAGACTAAAGGCCATTAAGGATATATAATACAATATTTAACGATAACAATATATAGTTTTTAAATTAATTTGAATGAATACCAGATAAATTTTGCAGTAAATGAGAAACAATTCCAAATATCCACGAAAACACAGCATAAATGTATAGTGAGAAGTAAATTTAAAAAAAAAAGATATATAGTTTGTCATATTAAAAAAGTTATATGTCCTTATGGAATCACTCTGTAAAAGTTTGGGGTCTATCTGACCCCAAGGAGCACAAACGTAAACCCCACAAAAAGAGAGCTTAAGGGTTAAACAGAACAGCATTGTGTGTTATAGTCATCTTTAAGTTACTAACAATAGCTGTAAAGATAATTATAATGAAAGCTATTAGAGTCTATGCTTGTGCTCTTTAAAGTCGATTCTGATGGCTGTTGCGTTTTTATCATTCATCAGCTGGAAAATTCAGTAATGAATTTTAATTCAGTGGCAATAAGACCAATTCTAGTGCTGATACTAGAATTGAAGTTGATTCCAGACTAAAGGCCGTTAAAGATATACAGTGGGTACGGAAAGTATTCAGACCCCCTTAAATTTTTCACTCTTTGTTATATTGCAGCCATTTGCTAAAATCATTTAAGTTAATTTTTTTTCCTCATTAATGTACCATTTAAATAAAGGCCTGGGGCCTCATTTATAACTGTTGCGTATGCACAAAACCTGCCCTGAAAGAGGCGTACGCCACTTCCTACGCAAAAGGTGGGATTTATAAAAAACAAACTTGATGGGAAAATTTGCGCACCTGCACGCAAACTCTGACCCATGCGTATGGACTTTTTTTCTTGCACAGTAAAAAGCGATCTGTTGACTTTACTTTTAAATTGAGGAAACCCCTTGCCTTGAAATTATTAAGTAAAGGAAATTCATGCATAGTTAAAAGAAACAAGTTAAGTGAACTTGACAATTCTGAGTTACATTAACAACTAAACAAAAGAAAATGTGTTGTGGTCACTTTTTATTTTAAGTTGGACTAACTTAAAACCATTAAATTGCAATTACTTAAAAGTATGATTCTACTTAACTTAAAACTAACAAGTTAACCTGAGTTCTGTCTACTTTCTTAAATTGAGGAAACCCGTTGCTTTTGTTACACCCCCAAGTCTAGGGTTCAGGGGCGAAACCTTAGAAGAACGAGAGTGAGACCGCAAGTACTTCTAAGAAACCTTTCCGGGTTCTTTTTTTATTGTGAGGACAAGGAAAAAACAGTCTGTGTCGTAAGCGATTCATACAAAGAACGCAAAGAAAAACCTTCAGGGCTAGGCCAGGCCAAAATAATAAACAAACAGAACTACCTTAGCCCAAAACTAAATTTCCTAACCAAAGTAAAAATAAAAATAAATACAAGCACTTCCCTTACTCCTTAACTAATCCAAAAACAGGAGAAAAGCATATCAAAAATAAATGGCACCTAGCCCCTACAGCGTTCATAAGCCAAGCTTAACAGATCACATAAATGGTCAGTAACACTCAATTGGGGGGGGAAAGAAAGAAACAAACGTGGGGGAGAGAACAGTAAACATTTCCATGGTTCACACAATTTCACTAATCTTACAAGCAAGA